TGCATTTATTACTTCATCAGAAATTTTCCAAATATTCCAGTTTTACATAGCTTCCAGTATTTCTATAGCTGTTAAAGCATTAACAAAAACCAGATCCAACTTGTAATTTTTGAGAAAACTTTATGTAGGGGGGAAGGGGGGAGGCCGAAAAATTCTACTGAATGTGTGTCCGCTACGCGTGCAAGTTAAACTTTTTTTTTCAAATTGATAGATGTGGAGGATTAATAGCAAATTTAGGCATTAAACTCCATTAAATCCGGCATAAATGCTAATTTCTCACCTGACACCGAAGCCTACAATAAAGTATAACTTTACAAATATTTTTAGTTTTGAAAGCAGCTCACCCAGATTACTAATCACCTAAAGCTTTCAATATCAACAGAGTGATGTGATGCCATAATGAGAAGACTACTGAAATGATTTGACTATCACTCTTGCCGATGCCTCCACTCAAGGAGACTGGAAATTCGGTAGGCATCAAGGGATAGGCGTCGACTCAGCTCGACCCACATGATTTGCTTGTCTAATCAGTCAGCGTCCGTGGGCACGATAATCACAACCATGCTTGCTGGTGGGCTGTTGCCCATTAGTGTCCGTATGAATGTTTGCTTGCGTGTGCAAACGCGTGACTTTGTAGTAATATATTTTGCTACCTGCCTGCAAGGTTGCGTCAAATTGCTATTTGCGCCTATTCCAGCTGTTCCGCGTTTTCACCGTGGGTCATTCATAGCTGCAAGCATTCGATTTCCACACCTGTTGCCAGTTTTTAGACGTTGAACGCCAGAGCATCAAGATAGGCACCTTGAGAATTTCTCCACAGATAACTAATTGATTTACTAGAAAATGTAGCAAGACCAGAGTTGTCGTTTGTATTTTTGAGGTCTGGTTTGAGAGACAAGACATTTTCATTATTGTATGAAATACTTTTCTTCCATTGAATGTTAAACCGTATTGCTGTAGTTCCTCATAGCGATGCTACTGAGCTGTCTAAAAACCGCATTGCCTCCAAGTCGATTTAGTACTTCATGATCTTTTCTTCCGTTGAACTTCTCTGCTGCCAGATAACATGAATTACTCGAATATTGTGAAGATTAGGTGGCACTTTTTTAACTCGATTTAAACAATTTGGCATTGGCATAGGCGATGACTTGTTCTTGGCCTCGTTCGTACTATTTTGAGGGTAGTCAGCTGCAGACGTTTTCCAAGTATCGAGTACGTGGTAAAATGTTGAGCAACAAGTTAGGAATTAGGAAATGTTGAGGTCAGCGCAAAGCATAGCACTTCCTTTTGATCTTTAAGAGGTCCATTATGTTCCTTTCTCCCTTTAAGCCATTTCTTTGGCCGCTTTTCTCTTCCCTCATGCACAAGACTTGAAATCTCCACAAAGAGCCTTGCAAAAGTCAGCCCTTGAAGATGGTGCTTTTCTGTTTGATTAATTGGTGTGTGCCTTTACCTAAAGTGTGCCTCGTCTACGTGTATAAAGCAGTGTTTTAGAGACGCGCGCTTTTCTTCATTAGGATACAAATTCAGGCCTATGGTGACCGAATGGGTTCAATAGCTTCATCTACCACATTGTTAGCCTCATCTAATTGTAAAGGAAATAGGGGTCTGGGTGATTGTCAGCCTGGTTTGGCCGCATGGGCATTTATCACATGTTTGCTAACTGCCCTTCTAGGCTTATAATCATAGAATGTAGATGTGAGTGATTCTGGCTTTCAGAGGTATGCACTCTGTCAATACCTTGGGTGGGACTCGAACGGAAAAAATCAACATGCCTACACAATTTGATATCTGTGAAACGTTCTTCACAATGGATTTGCCGCCTCAGTGTGTGATGAAGGAGTCAAGCTAGCCGGATCATCTTGTCTACAATGATGAAGCACTAACTATTGATAAAAATGTGGGTAAGCTGACTTGGCTGTTCCGAAATTTAGGAGCTAATCACATAAATACACTTATGAACTGCTCAATATGTGTAAAAGAGGAGTGCTTTTAGTTGAGAGCTCAATGAGGATTGTAATGTCAAGCGCAAGGCCTTAATGGTATTGTATGGGAGAATGTTGTTAAAACAAACTCTTTCAGATGTATTCTCGTAATTCCCCTCCGCCACTTTTGGCGACTCATCGAGAAAACTAGTGCCTGTAAAAGTACTTCATCTACCATGACGTTCAAAGGGCTCTGCATTGAAGTTGGTCGACTTCCTATTTTTTGATTTGTTTCCATGCTGAACCATGGACTGGAGCTGTTATAAGCAGCCTTCGTTGTTTACACGCACTTTCGGAGTTCGGTGGAAGAATTTGCGGGCGAGAATCCTTTTCCTCCTTGAGAGAACTTGCTGGGCTAAATGTTCAACATTTGCTAAAATCTCTGTGTAATTTCGGACTGTCTTTCAGGGCAAAGAGAAGTTACAGTGGGAGTGTGAGGAGAACCCATGGCTACTTCTGCTATGTGGGTTAGAAGCGGGGCTAAAATTGAGCTCGTTGTAGGTAATCGTTGAAGATTGCGAAGATATTCCAGACTAAAGGGCTTACAGACTCTGCCACCCCTGTAGCGAAGTTGTCGTTTTCCTCTTTCAAATGCGGTTTTGAATATTTAAAACCCAATATATGAAGTGTGGATTTGATATTATTCAAAACAGCAGCTAGTGTTTGTGAGGGCTCAGGGTTTCCTGTTCTGAAGATGGCAGAACTGTCATCGAAAGTACAACTTTCAAGAAACTGCACGACTTATGTTCCAAAATGAGAAACAAAAGAAAATTAATGCTACAACGATGTGCTTCTCTAGTCGAAATTTGACTTTACATCCATCAGCAATGTCAGAGAACTCAGATTAAGAAACATTTTCCTGCCTCCTGACCCAGCAACCGAATGCAGGACTGAAATCTGAGTGGCAATAAAATTCCGTGATAACTTTGCGGTGGAATCAACAATTTGGCACCTTTGGTCTGACAGTGACATGGCGCAAACTCGGAGAGCCTGTGACAAAGTCTTCAGCAATCTGGGTTGAGTTCGTTCACATCATGTTTGTTAAGATTTAAGAACGTCAACCAAGTTATATATGTAAAAGGTATCCGTGTCGCCAATTATTATGAGCAAGTGCTCATTTCCGTGAACACAAAGATTGCTAAGATTATGAACAGTGCAACTATTAGATAAGACTTCGAGAAAACGAGACCCCTATTATCAACAACCAGAAAACGACCTTTAACTCATAGTGACAGCACCATTCCAATCTAGGGAGGAATTGAGCGCCACAGCATCAAGAGGTTGACTTCCCCACGATTATGGTAACTAAAGAGCATGTAGGTAGACCAATAGAAATCATTGAAATGAGAGTAAGGTAACCAAGGGGGATAACTGCAAGGAATTAGCTCTGCAGGGTATTAGCTTTGCAAGGCTACTTTAAAGCCTTTTTAATGGCTTTACTTTAAAACCAACGTGCCTACGAGTAGCGACTTGGGCACTGGATGCTAACATTGTATACAATCCATACATCTTAGCCCGAGCAACGCAAAGCCAGAAAGTCACCACAATTCACTTTTCAAGGAGACGTTATCTATAGGAAAATTGAAAACATTGTAAGCGACAGAGCACTGCCACGAAGACTGTGCAGTCGATGGGTATTTAACTGCACCAGCTCCTCAGTCTCCGCCAGGCTTTGGTTACTGTCCTGGTGGCATGGAGATTCGGCTACCGTTTCTTTTGACAAACCGTCAACCCTCCTATAAATTCACTACATTTGAATACACCTGGCGCCGTTTTCAAAATAGCTTAAGTGCTAACTTTTCTCGACTGTTTGAATAAAAAAGTCATGGACTCTCCAGCTTCCAGTGTTAAAAAACAACACAAATAAGTGCAGAAATCCTCTCCTGGCGAATTAATAACAATGGCAAGCGCCCCCTCTCATTGGCGGAAAATGTTTATAAGCAAACGTCTGAACTACCCAAATGATCACTGTAATCATCGTACCACATTTTAAACACCACATCAGTTTGGAAGTCGAATAAGTCCCTGAAATAACGACAAATTCGTGTTGAACTACTTGAAGCTATGACCTTAAGGTCAATAGTCCAAGCAAAATTTGCGCGTTCCTCCGAGTAGCATAAATCAAGCAAAACATGCATTTATTACAAATTCAAGGAGAACTTCAAACGCCTATGCAACTAAGCATTATAGCGTAGTGTACAGCAGACATGCATGGGGATTCTTTAACTGCTTAGGTTCTACTGGTTTTCGATACTCATGCACAAAAATAACATCTTTCTCTACTACTTTGAGATGATAAGGGAATTGATAGCAGTGCCTTGGTTGAATTCTTATTAAGTCAGTGGTAGGGAGAGCTCAGACTGAAGATAACAGTTTTGACTCCAGTGACGTGTAGGCGCACAATGAATTTTACAGCGGGTTTAATACAGTTGTAAAGAACGTAAAAAGCACCACCTAATCAGATATTTGCATTTGGTTAATAATAATGGACAATAACGCTGGAGTTTCAATTCAATTACCCTTAACCTTGATAAACACCAAGGTTTGATGAATGGGAGTGCCTCATTAAATATAACTTACAGATTTGACAACAGATGTAGCATGCATGGCGAGGAGGCTTGAAGAGTAATATTCTGATATTTAACGGAATCGAACATCGCGAAATGTCACACACTAACTCGGGGAAACTCTTTGTGAAAATGTAAAATCCGTGTTGGTTACCGGCGCATGGATATTCATTCACCAGCTTTCAGTGACACATCTGTTACAATAATACTCCGCAAACTCCAAAAGCGCACGTAATTCTCAAAGTCATAATTCAGGAATGCTTAAAACAGAAACCTCAAAAATGGAAGTATTGCATCTGACCTCACTGCGTCAGGAAGTAATGGCGATGATAGGACACCAGGAATTGGCATGTGAATTATAGCACTCAACAGAGGAGAGCTTGGTGGATTCATCTCTGCCACCAGCGGCGTAGATGAGGCCGGAGAAAACAGCGACACCAAGGTGTTTTCACCACGCCGACATCGAAGTAACGTGGAACCAGGTACGGGCGCGTGGATCGAAGTGTCCCACCGTGGCGAGAGCACTTTGACGATCGGACCCATTGTCAGCGTACAGCAGCCTATTCAAAACCGCTACCCCGACGCCTACTCTGTAAGTAGACATGCTGGCGATCTGTAAACGACGATTAATGAAAGGCCATTGTTCCTTACTTTGGCACAAAAACCGGTAGAGCAAGAAGCGCTTATGGGGATGTCTAATTAAAGTCGTTTTGAACACCTAAAACGATTGGCTAGTACTCTATATTTATGTAATATCAGAGGATCAACAAAGTTTGTACAGTTTTTAGTGTAGCTTGAAGTAATGACTTAGTGTAACTTAAGAATTTGTGAAGTGCATGAGATAGTTTGCATTCATTATCATATATGGATAATTGTCAGCCTTACTTTAAACCTTTTCTCTCTTAAATCAAATAGCGTCGGGCGAACTTGAAGTGATTTGAGACCGCTTTACGATTTAAGTTCAGCTCGGATTCCGAAGCTGGGAAAGCCTCTCGTAGAAATTATCATGCAAAGATGCTATAGTCAAAAGTACCACTCTGAAACGAATTTAAGAATTCGATACACCTTGTTTGGGAAGAACCTCTAGTGTTTAATACTAAGGTTTAACGTGAGCTATAAGCCAAGTTGTTTACACCTGCATCAAATAGGAAGCAAGCTTAACTAATATGTTAATGACACAATTTCGTGTAACAGGTTATCACAATTGAATAGAAAGCACACTTAATACATTTGCGACGACGGGAGCAGGCAGGGGAATCAAGAAGTCACATCGTCGGCGAATATGCTAAAAGATGTGACTTTGTACCAACAACAGGTCTTTTGTCTTCAATGGTGGTGCCGTTGTTAATGTTATAGTAAGGAACACACCTTGTTTCACCTGTTGGTGATGAAGCCGTATCGCTCCACGAGATTTAGGCAGGTAACATCATCCTGACCGCCGAGGGCGGCAACACCGACACTAGTTCTACAAATATTGACGGGAGCCACGTCGCAAGACTAAACGTTCGTGTGGGTCGTAACTGCACGAGAGGCAGAAGAATGGCTGGCTCCAACAAAGACGGGGCTCAGTGCTTGAAAAGATGGCATACGCATTCGCCTTATATCATGTCTTAATAGGATAGCTATTGAAGTGACATCCAATGACAGACACCTTGTGAGTAAAATGAATGTAACAGTGAGGGCTACAGCTTAACATGCATGCATTACTTAAAATAAATTTATCAGATTTAGTAGCCCGATTTTCCACAGTTGCGAGATCCGCGACAGCTTTAACACAACAAATCAATGATTCCTTTATATTCTTATTTCTAATCAAAATAAAAATATGCGATCAAAACACGCGAAACAAATAGTGTTACAAATTAACAGGTTCATGGACTGGAAACGCAAAATGCCCTGAGCCATTTCTTTCCATGTTTCGACCAAGATATTGGGAATGAGAGAATAATTAACAATAGATTTACAAATCTCATAGATTTGGCGGGTCGCGAATTTCAAGGATAGTAAAGAAATCATGGCATTGATTTCAGCAAATTAATAATTCCATTCAATGAGTGCTCTTACACGATTTTTTCTTCTAGGCCTTCCGACTATTAAGATACTTATGCAGTGTTCCTGTTTATACTAAACTAGTCCAACTGAATGAGCGACCAAATATAAAGGAAATCCATCACATTTGTTGCATCAATAAAATTACACGCCCAATGTTCAAAACAGGGATCAAAAAACTTCGCAGACACTATTTGGCGGTACTTATAATACGTTGGTGGTATTTATACACTTGTATGTCTAACACCCCATATATGGACACACCTCTCCATGGAGTTAAGGTAGCTCTGTCCGTCATGTCTTTCACCCGCGTAGAGGTCACTGATCACACCCACGCCTACACCATAGTGCTACAAGAAACCATACGCGACTGTGCGGGTTGGAGCCCTCGGCGGAGGCTATGGCGGCGCCCGAGCACTGGCCACTTACCACGAAGAGCGCCTCTTTTGGAGTCAGCGGACTGCACAGCTGTATGCGTACTCGCTCCTGAGGCAGCAGCAGGCAAGCCTTCACCTCATCTATGAGGTCACGGCAAAATTCATTGGCGGAAGCCAGCTTACTGATGCTCACTACCTAGATGAGGAAAGTGGATGAGAGCAGTGACAAGCACACGTGTGGAAGGAGGAAGGGAAGGTGTTTTCCCCTCAAGGCGTGATCATATTGCAACCATCGCATCATTGCTTGATAGACCTACTCTTCGATTCAAACACTCAGGCTGCACGAATTCAGCACATCGACCAACTGGGGAGTGGGAGTGGGAGCAGACAGAAAACCCCTGATTGGACCAGCTCCTAGGAAAAGAAAATTGACATCAACAACAGACAAAGGGAAAAACTGTGATCTAGTTAATTTGGTATCGCAAAGTTCTGATGGACAAATCGGTTGGCCAAGTACGTCAGACCCACACAGGAATGAATATCTGCGCTTAAGGAACGCACAACAAACGCGTCTTATCTCGATCATCTGAAGAAGACTTGCAGCAGAAAGGAGACTTTGTACATTATCTTCCTCTAACTGAATTCAATTTGCATAACAGAAAGCCACGAATGCTTCCACGGCGCTGGGGTCCAAATCGAAAAGCTTGACCCAAAACACAACTGCAAAGTCAAGTGAGAGATCCAAATGGATATGCTTTAATTCGACCAATTTACCAGTGAACGTGCCCTTTAAAAGTGTGCACTACAAAACAGAGAATACAAAAGAAGTAGTATTTAAAATGTAGCACATATAGGTGTCGCGGACGACTTAATACAGAAGCGATTATTTTATCTAGAACTTGACGTCTGGTATCAGGCCCATTAGTGGACTGAGAAGACCATAGGTTTTACATTATATCCTACCACTAAATTATAACATGAAGCACAAACACGTTTAAGATTAGGATTCAAACACATCACTGTTAAAATCGACAATATACAGTAACAACTTGCAACCGGAGATTACATGAACATGCTGTTATGCTTTTTTGACTGCTTTAAATGGGTACAAAAATCCACGGTAGAATGGTTGCCCAAGCCAATTATACCCAATATATTCACACCATGAAAAAATGAAAGGTAAGAAATAATCCTTCCTTTCGCCTAATATTACTCGTACCAATGAATCCTTTACCCACGTTTTTTACATGTACGATAAAATATAGGCCAATTTGATGACGCGGTCAGTACAAATTACACTGGCGGCAATGCCGTGTCGAACGTGATCAGGACAAAAGTGGTTTGACTAATGTTAAGGAAGCGCATTATGTGTAACCCACGAGATTTTGTCCTGTTAAAACTGTTTAAACGGTACTACTGGCACCGAATGGGCTACAAACCAAAAAATATTGAACCCGGTTCATTTCCATTTCCTAGACGTCAAGTACCAATTGATGGACAAAAATCGTACGCTGACCGCATCAAAGGTAAACTGATTTGACGCATTTCTTTTTCTAGATTTGTCTTCGGGAGGTAAAGCAAATCCCTCTCTCGATTCTGTCAATATTGGATTCAAAGTCGATCTACCAAAACGAGCACACAAGGCTGATCGAAAACCTGAACTTGAGCCTTTGGCTCGTCGTCGACAGCTCAAGGTATCCATTAATGAAATCCGCAACCTAGCTGGGGTTTGTGAGTCACCTTCGCAGAGACTCCTCGCAGCAGACCACTTTGGGATTTTTAAAGACCTCTTTGGACCTCAATATTATTTCATTCCGATCTTGGATGTCCCCATTTTTTACCCTCTCGTGAACTCTTCCGATGTGGTTCCCGTATGCTACGGAAATCAAATCAGTCCGAGAAATGCGATGGTATTTGTTTGTTACTTGCCTGTGGTTGCCATTGTCTCGTGTCCCTTAACTATTAATGTCTCGGATATATTCTAGATTGAACCGCTTGTTGATTTCTCCCGCTTACCAAAAAATTCGTTGTGGACTCTAATTATGACTTCCCCTGATGAGCCCTTTTTGGGAGAAAGCAGTACCCAACCTGCCGAGTACATCCATTGGATGATGTATGTGAGAACGCCTTTTAAATGTCTGGTCAAGTTTCATGCCTACACTTGTGTGCAATTACTTCACTAGTGCCAACATAAACCCAGAGATATGCCAAGACAATGTTCCCACGGAGGGCGATCTGATTGTGGACTATTTGCCACCACTACCGTATTTCGGCTCTGGCTTTCACCGGTACGTCTTTCTCCTGTATCGACAAGACAATGGTCCCATCGATTTGTCCAAAGAGCTGCGCGGTCCTGTAAAAATGTGAGTTTCAACGTGATGCAGCGCCTAGTCTTGCCTGGGAGTCTCGTTGGGGAAAAGCATTATTTTCTTGTAGGGATTATCACAAGGAACGCGTCTTCAGCACAGCAGATTTTTACCGACTCCACCAAGACGCGTTAACGCCATCAGGACTGGCTTTCTTTCAGTCTTCCTGGGACGAGTATGTTAGATCATATTTCCGTGAGCATTTGCCTGGTGAGTGCCAGAAACCCCGCCTACAATTAGTTTTGGGTTTGCTTGACGCTACCTAAATCCAGACATTGTTCACCCACTAAAGCTAAGCAATTCCTTTATTACCTTAATGCATTACCATGACAACAAACACAAAGCGTACTTTAACCTCGTTTGAACTCAGAAGGATAATGTGCGCCTCTTCCAAATTTTGCCTGATACCCCTTGGTTCGTGGTGGATTTCTACCGCCCATAAATCAAGCACCCGATCTCTGTGGAATTCTCTGCGACTAGACTTTCATAACTTAGATATCCAGACTTTACGCCGTCAATTAGGAACGGTCAAAACCAATCGGCCATCACATTCGGCGCTATTTCTATCCGCTATCTACTATGCTCGACTTTATGATGCGCCTAAAATTTACTACGCTTAAATCTATGTGGTCCAGCTGCACTCCGCTTTTTTTCGTTTAGAGATCAGCGAGCCTGTTTTCGAGGTTCAGTTTCCCACTGAAATGCCGCCACCGCAGGCACGCTTTCCCCTGGTCAACTCCTGGTTCCACCCTCGTCGCCATCCCTTGGGCCTGCCTCTGGCCAATAGTCGTCTAGGTGTGCACGAGGACGTCTCCTTTGATACTTACCTCGACTGCTATCGCGATAAACGCGAAATGGATCAAGAACTGGTTCAGCAACGACTTGCCACCGAGGGTAACCCTCTGGATCCAGAGCACCCACGCTTCCAGTCACCATATCCTTTGGTCAGCCCACACCTCCCCTCGGGTCGTGATGTGCCTTCCTGGTGGAAGCAACAGGAGATTCAACGACGTCTGCGCAAAGGTCGATGGGTTCATCTAGAGGGGCACGAGGACTGAAAAGAGATTTACTTTGTGTGTAGTGTTTGTGTGATTAAATAGATCGGTGAACAGAACCACTGAATCATCTGATTAGCTGATGATGGAAGGCAGGTAAGCTGGTGGTTTTAGTTAAACCAAAGTCTACTGGAATTGGAGGAGGAAGCGTAGCCTGGAGAGGGCTAGGAGACTTCCAGCGAAACGAATTTGGGAATTTTTCAGCGCCTCCAAGAGATCCAAACGTCCATCAAGGATTCCAGCGAGGTTGACCTCATTTATGTGAATTGTGGCAGAGGGTTTCTTGAAGTCTAAGACACCACGTTCCCCTTTACCTAGGGAAGGGATAAGCTTCTTAGATTTGTTTGAAATAGGTGGCCCTTGTCTCAATGTGGCTAGTTGCCTGGTTCTGGGTCACACTGCTTATAAACAGGAATGTTTTGAACCTACACAATTGTGTTAGCTCGGATTTTACTTGCAACCGCTGTAACAGCAACACGAAAGTGCGTTCAGTCATGTAAAATTGAAAGAATACTTTTGTGGGTGGCAGCACGTTGTGTATTGCAGTACTTCCCAAACTACTACATTGGAAATAGAATGAGGGTTATCGCATCATTTAGTAAATTTTATGCCTTAATCAACTTTAGCTTCATTTGTTCATTTCAATTCTAGTAAAAAAGTCGAATGACAATGTATGAGGTTCCACACTGGTACACGCTAATGTAATATGAAATCGAAATTTGGCAAAGATTTGTAACATACTAACTGATAAGTTTTGGGAAAGAAATTAGTTCAGTGAATAAGCGGTAAGTTTCAGTTTGTTTTGGATGGAGCAATCTGGACGTGTCAGAAATGCATCAGGAGTACTAAGATTCGCAAAGGTATTTATAGAAAGTGTTTTGATGATCATGCAGCTAAAAACCCGAGATACGTTAAAACGGGCTTCCAAGGCTGCCTACCATTTGGCTGTTCCATTTAAAACCTGCCTATGTCTTGGAGGAGTCTTAGTAGACCAATTGGTTGAAGTGGATTTAAAGATATAATGACAGATTTATAAATGACCTATTTTAGAACATCAAGAGCCAGCTACTAAAACTAGAATACTCAGTTTCATATGACCGAAGAAAGCGGCGCAATTGATGAGCTCAAGAACATCCAACTTTTCTGCCATCCTTAGGCATTTAAAAGCCCCTTGCTCACCTGTATCTGAGTCCAAGTAGAATGCAGCAGCATAATCGCGCTTATTTCGGATGTCCGAGGTGTAGACAAAGACCTGGAGACTTGTACCCCCCAGAGCTGCTCGAGCCTTTTCGTTGACTAGGTAAACTCGACCCCTAGAGAGAGCCTGTTCAATCACCTCATCCACTTTCTCCAAACTCGCTTGATCTGTGACGCTACTTATTGGCATTGATGCTGTTGTTGTATAAGAGTTATTACCCTGTGACAACTTCAGAGATGCTATTTGACTGATTACCGCGGTGAATTGCACCGAAGCCGTATGACTGTCTCCAGCACTCCCTCCACCAGTCAACAGTGGCGAAAGGCTCGCGATCTGTTTCCCTAGGTTTTGAAAATCAATGCTGTAAGCCCTATCTGAGGTGACCGAAGGCTCCTGCACCGACGTGGCTTCGGATCTGGTTTTAAAGGGACAACAGAAACTGTCAATCAAATGAACAATAAAGAAGTCTGGAAGCGATGACTTTAAATTTGAACTTACAACTTTACCTCCAAGATCTGGATCCCATAGGGCGAGCAGCACAAGTTAACAGAGGCCTATAAAAGTGGAATTTCAAGTAATTGCTACATCGGTTAGGCTATAGTATAACCACTAAAGTAGATCACCAGCGTCGTAAATTTAGTTAATACCTGTTGAAATACATATGAATTTTTGGAATATGTAAAGCTGTTGATAAATGAAGTAATCGAGGGTTTGTTATCAACTACGATTCGTAGCTACTTTTACGTAATTTTTGGGGAGGCGGGCCTAAAAATTCAAATAAAGCATAGTTTTGCAAAGAAAATGATGATGAGAAATACGACTATTAAACGATTACAAATGAAGTACTCGAACATCGCAAGCAATGTCGGGTAAAGCATGGCCGGAGACGATGTCGCTCCAATTGATTCGACAAACGGCGGCCAAGAGTGCTGATTGCGCTTTCTTTAGAACAAGATCACGGGGATCACGTGCCCAGTAATTCACGGCCAATTCAGCCTCGACGATGTGGAAGACCATAAGACAGCCGATTTCTACCCGACCCCCATCGGCTGTTAAAGCCTATGAAGGAGAGCAGGTGTGCGTAGATGATGGCTGAACGGCAATAGTAAGCAACCTTTATAAGGGATGTTGTTTATTTCTATTTACAAGCCCGACCATCAGTATAAATTTTGGGGCGAAATGAAGTAGAATCAACATAATCTCGGAAATCAACAGGTTCCTGAAAGGCCTTACCTGATCAGCCAAAATCTCTACTGAGGAATTTTAAACAAGTTCTGTTTATTTTGGGCGTCATTATGGCCGGTGCACGAATGTGGGTTGGATTATGTCAATCGCTGTCTTGAATCAATGTCAATTGAGCCTTATCTTGCCCCTCCAACGTTTGATGCAGAATAAGTTAGAGAGTTAGACTATAAACTAACATGAAGTTTGCGTATTCTTGCTGGAGGTATGATCACACACTATCTCATATTACGCAGTGACAGTATTGTTAAGGACAGGGGACGCTCAACTGCCTGCTCCATAAGACTTCTTCCGTGATTATCATAACAGTACTTACAGAAATTGGTTTGATTTTGAGCGTTTGCTCATCAAGGTCAATGACCTGATATTCGTCCACAAATGGGAGGACCAGGACACATCCTAAAATAGCATATCATTAAATTATATCTTAAATTACGCCCCTCGGTTTGAATCATTAAGCAACGTGGAATGAATTTAACAAAAGAAACTTATCTGCTGTTTTCCGAAAAAAGAACTGTGAATGAATCGCACCTTAAAATTGCCTCTGCAGCTCCTTAATACTGTTTGTGATAATAATGGCTAAAACTCCGACTTACAAAATGTATTTCAATGCTTCTGCTTAGATAGCTTAAAATAGTTTCGTTGCACTAGACCTAAATAGATATTTCAAGTGACAGCTCATTTACCAAATTTTAACAAGCGATAAACATCCAAATTCCATAAACGCAATAACCAAACGACAATTGCCAGTAGCCGATACCGACGGTTTGTCAAAACCCGATTCTGCCACTTTTAATCTGATTTTTTGTCCCTCGAATATATGGGACAAAGCTAGATACTCGGTAACAGTTAGTAAGCATTTCTTCAAAAATCACCAAAATGAAAAGGAACAGTTCAGAAATAATTATGGACATAAATGGTATGACAGGGTTTAAGTACCTGTTAGTAACCATTCACATGAAATGCACTTTCCGAAAAGTACCATTAGAGCGTTGCATTCCCCTATGTCCTTTCCTAAATGGTGCCAGTTATGACAAGAACTGTTGAGAAGGAAGCGTTTCGAATACAACGCCTCCTCCTTAAACCACTATTTTTAAAATACAAACGTTAAGTTAAAGTTTCCTAGTAGAGGCCAGTCTTTTGATTAGGTATAAAAAACATTCGCAAGAATCACCTGGACCACGGAGTTTAAGTTTTCGTCCAAGCCTAAATATGGTCACTCTTTTGGTCTTTGATAGCCTCTAAGTTAGTAAGAGAAAAAAAAAACGATAGAAAAAAGAGGGATAAATACGTAAACAAAGTTAAAAACCTCGTTAAACGCAAAAACTTCACTATTAGCAGAATTTCATTAAACCTGAGAATTAAACACCAATATAAGCCAATTAAGGTAGGTAAATTTAAGAAGCTTTCTAAAAGAGCAATAAATTAGGAGATTTCGACTTCATTTATGCTTTTGAAGGACTTTGATATAAGCGGTGAGATAAAATAGACACAAATTAACCTTAATGCAGAAAAGAGAAGTGATTGGAAAGGTGAACAGAAGAAGAAAGACGGACAATAAAACGAGGAAAAGGTAGGTAGCACCGCCAAATGCAACCTCGGGTTCTTCTCCCGAATCACCTGGTGTCTTGTGGACTAGAAAATATTGAAGCGAATCAAGCACCCAGTTTTAATGTTTCTGTTAAAATCAAAATACATGTGTTAGACATACAGTCCTGAAATACACTTTCATATGTGAAAATGGACTGGTACTGTGCGGGGATGTCATCATCAGAAGTCGAAATCCCTTCAGTAGCATTAACCACCTTATTATTCTTCTGCTTCAATAATTTGCGATCAATAAAGTTGCTTTCTGGCGAAAATTCAAAAGCTTGACCGAATTCTACCGGCGGTAAATGATTGGACATCAAAGTGTTTTGAAAAATATCAGCTGAACCGTTCGGATTAGAAGCATTAAACGTGACTGTATGCGTCTTTGTGGAAAGTGGGATTAGACCCCCTTCGACCCCAGCCACGTCATGATGCATTCGAATTCGGCACAAGTCATCGGTGAAGCCAGGTTTGCGGGGAGGAACATGCTTCTCTAAAGGCATTTTCTGCATAAATCACTTGTGCCAAAATATTGTCTCCCTTTGCTCCTGCAAATGTAGAGGACCAAAACAATTAACTTGTTTTTTTTTTGGCAGGGAACGACTTGAATAATCAATAAAAATATTATCACTGCAAAGGACTGAACATGAAGAAATGAAAGGCAAGCACTATGTAAATAGGTGAATCATCAGTCCAAATCGATAAACCCTTAAGGAAAGTAGTGAGTTACCTTCAGGAAAAAACCAACCATAACAGAACTTCGCAGAAAACCTGCTTTCAATTACGCAGACACCACCCACCAAATTTAGGCACCATCGCAAAATAAGAAGTTAAAACAAAATTCCAGAAATCACTAGGCTATTGAGTTTAAGAATTGTAAGAATCTCATAGTACCCAGATTTGCTTAACATCCCTATAACGCTTTAAATAACAGTTGCGAAAAACGCATACATGGTAATTTTGCAATGCTTACCTTTGCATTTTATGAAAGGGGAATCAGATAAAAAAGACTCATGCATGATCATTGTAAAAAAGGCAAGTTCTTTGCCCAAATAAATGTTTTTGCTTATTAGTAAAGTTTATCTCTCTATTTTAGTAAAGCAGCCACTTCGATTTCCCTCGGTATCCTCCCGACCATACCACTAGCCACATGCCTAACTGTAGTACGGTGGTGGCTTATACCTCGGTATTAGTGAGGCACTACTTTAAAACCTTTTAATTCGCCTTCTTGTATATCGCTGGGTGCGCTGGTCCTTGGGCCCAAAAAAGAGTCTTCTTTTGTCTTTGGACAACTCTTAATGTGCTGTATTTGGATCCACTGATTTTTATTAAACACAAACTGTGGTAAATGTTACCTCATACATTAAAATTACATTTGTATTCTCATTATGCTAAAACTAGACACCCTTCAGTTCCCCCATTCTAATAAACATCCTGATGTTATGTTGTCAGTTATTGACATTTTTTTGTTAATTGTAAGTATTAGGACATTATGTTTGTCACATCGCGTCAGTACATTAATAGGTAAAGTGTTGCTGTTTTTTTCTATGGATGGACATTTAAAACGCTACCTGATGCCAAGGAGGCTCATGGTGAGATCGGATCATCGGGGGATTACCTCACTGAGAACAATAAAGCGGGTTTACATTCCTGATGCACAACGGTATGAAGAGTAATAACATCACAGACTATCAGACTAGTCCCTAAAGCAACAGGTAGAATTGTAGTAAATTGCAAATTCTTTAGCAGGCTCATTAATCATCATTAGACGTGCACGTAGAGTGTCGGTTCCGATAATGCTCAAATGCACAAAAGCGCATGCGGCTGCATTTATTCACTAACTGGCA